TCGATGCAGGGAAAAACCCCACAAATTTATAATAAATTATTGAATTTAAGATGCATCATTTAATATATATATATATATATATATATATATATTTTTTTTTTTTTCAAATGATGCAAATTTCAAAAAAAATTAAAGGGTTAAAGAAAATAGATTTCTGAGGGGGTGCTGAGCAATTTTTTTAAAAAGGGCAGCAGGCAAAATAAGTTTGGGAACCTCTACTTGGGATCATGATATGATTAATTAGAGGTGTGAAATCTCAACTTTGGAAACAACTAGGATAGAGTTTGGAAACTGTGGTAAGTATTTCATAATGGGTCAGGTCCCAACCTTACATTTTCTTCTCTTCCTCACTAACATTTAAATCCAGGTAAAGATCAGGTAATTGTTCTCTTAAACTAGATCAGTAAAAGAACATGTCTTCTGCTACCATTCATTTTCTTTGGTATTGCAACGTTAGGGAATTTTGTTGTCATGATAAATTCTATTTCAACCTCTTTTTAAAAAAAACTCTGTACATCTTTATGTGTTAAGGGTGTTTGTTTTAAACAATAAGTTGTTGGGTTCTACTTTCTTACCCTTTATACCACCTTCCTCCTTTTTATAGGCAAGTCTATTCCATTCACATCCACAATTATGATTGGGTTCTTTTTTCTCCTCATCAAATACTGCTAAAATAGGCAGATAGGTGACACAGTGGATATAGTGCTGCACTTGCAGCTAGGAAGAACTGAGTTCAAATCCTTCCCTTCATCAGACACTTATTTAGCTGTGCGTATGACCCTGAGCAAATCATTTAACCTCCTCAGTCTGTGAATCCTCATCTATAAAAATGGGGATAATAGTACCCACTTCTCAGAGTTGTAAGGACAGCATATATAAAGTGTTTTGCAAACTCTAATGCTAGCTATTTTTAAAGGCAGCTAGGTAGCCTACTGGGTAAGAATGCTAGACTCAGAGTCAAAAAGACCTGAGTTCAAATTCTTCCTTAAACACTTACAGTTAGTAACTGTGTGATTCTGGGAAAGGCACTTAACCTGTCTGTCTCAGTTTTCTCATCTGTAAAATGAGAGTAGCAGTGGCTCTACCTTATGGGGTTGGTGTGGGAATCAGATGAAACTACATATGATATAGTATTTTGAAAGCCTTAAAGAGTTATATAAATACTAACTTAGGTCTAGAACTGGAAGAGACTTCAGAAGTTATCAAGTCCAATCTTCTCATTCTATAGCCTTAGAAAATTACCTAGATAGAATAGGTAGAGGAAATACAGAGGAAAATGACTTGCCCAGGGTCACAAAGCCATTAAATGTCAAAGGTGGGATTTGAGCCCAGGTCTTCCTAATTTCAAGGCTCCTCTCTATACACAATTCCATGAATCTTTGGCTGAGCGAGTAGTTTATAGCCTGGAGAGTTGGTATGTGGGGATTAGGCCCAGAAGCGATAGTAGTTCTGCTAGAAGGTCCCAAGGACCACTTCTTCTGCCCCTGGCACCAAACTTCTACTGAAGGGTCTTTAAATGGGATGCAGAGAATGAGGTATCATAGATCTGAAAGAGAAGTTGAGAGTTCCCGATGGACTTTTACCCTAAGTGAAAACAGCTCTAAATTTCTGTCACCTTGGTGGCTATTGGCTGGGGCCTGAATTAACAGTAATAGCTAGGTAGGTACTATTATTATTCCCCTTTTGCAGATCAGGAAACTGAGGCCCAGAGAAGTTACGCACTTTGCCCAGAGTCACACAGCTAGTAAGCGTCCAAGGCAGGATTTGCACTTGGGTCTTTCAAGTACTCTATCCACTATACCACTAGGTGCTTAATTGGGGATAGAACAATGATAAGGTGCCCTGGCATTTGTTTTCTCTTTTATTTCCTGAGGGAATTTTATCTTTTGGATTCTTCCTTTCTTTCTTTTGGGTTTTTTTTCTTTCTTTTGAATTCTCTCTGTCTCTGTCTCTATCTATCTCTCTCCTTCCCTCTCTCTCTACCTCTGTCTCTATCTCTCTGTCTCTGTCTGTCTGTCTGTCTGTCTCTTTCATTTGTCATTCCTTTCCCTTTGGGGAGGGGGTATTTCTCATTGTTTGGGGGCTGTTGGATAGAAGACCTGGGCTTTTCTGGAAGTTGTATTCAGCCAAGTTCCTGGAAGTCCTTACTATTTATTTACTTTGACCTGAAATGTGTCAAAGCCTTAATTGAGTCTGATAATAATAGGAAGTCTGTGACAGAAATTCTAAATTAAGTTTTAAAAATAAGTAATTTCTCAGAAGCCAAAATATTCTTAATTAGAAAACATCTCAAAGGGGGAAAGGGATGGAATCTCTCACAGTATTGGCTACTTTTGTTGAGCGTTAAATTGTTCTTTGTAATTCTCAAGTATGGTTAAGTCAACATTACGTCATATAGAGGGCTGTAGGTCAGATGTTGGGAGGAACTTCCTGAGAGGAAAGACTATTAGCAGGTTTAGACTAAATGCTCTTTCAGTGTCCTTCAAAATCTACATTTCTGTAATCAAAACATATAGCAAACACCAGGGCTCAAAACCTTACAGAAAATTTTGGCATTTCCCTCAACGTTTTCCCTCACATGCAATCCTTTGCTATTCAATCCTCTTGTATAGCATGTGTCTGCAATTATTTTTCACATTTATCCCTCTCCCCCTGTTTGCTGCCTTGTCACCATTTTAGTTCAGTCCCTTATCACCCTTTGCTAGGACCACTATGACCAAATTTAAACCTTCCATGCTAGATAAGGACCCTTTAAACATGCTTCTTTCCAAGACTCTATAAAACCCCAAACTCAGGCTACTCCTTCTTTCCAATTTTTCCCATCCAAACTTTACCTATCAATTCTTCTACAAGGCTTTCCATGAACATTTTTCCCTTCCAAAATGATGACTCAACTATTAATGTATTCCTGTTCATTTTATTTTATTTTTTCTTAATTTTTTTTGTTACCAACTTTTATTCAAGCTTTTTTATGTAAAAACCATTTCCAAATGTACACTTCCAAACCACAAATGAATTCTTCCTTATAACACAGAAAAATCCAAGTAAAACCTAAAGAGCAAAAAACCTCATTTGACTATACAAAACGTCCCAAATAGTCTTAGTGCAGTTTTAAGCTATTAAAGTTATTAAATCTTTGGTGACCCAAAAATCTTAGTGAAGTCTTAAAACTACTAAAGCTTAAAACTGCACTAAGATGGGAAACCCTGTATATTCAACCTTCCACAAGAATATAGAGGTATACTTCCTTCTCTTTCTTGTGGGATTAAGTTGGTCCTTGGAATTCTGAGTTTGGTAAACATTTTAGTATTGTTTTTGTTTACAGTGTATTTGGAAAAAAATCACAGTCCTTTCTTAATGACAGAAATACAGAAATATGATACTATTTCTGACCCTGACCATTTTTCTTTTTCTTTCTTTCTTTCTTTTTCTTTCTTTTTCTTTCTTTCTTTCTTTCTTTTTCTTTCTTTCTTTCTTTCTTTCCTTTTCTTACAAAAAAAAGATAAGATAGGGCCAAATTCTAGGCTCACCCAAAACAACTTTCCATCATTTTTATTTTGATAGATGCTCATTTTAAATTAAGTGCATCTTGAGAGAATTCCAAATTGATTTCACAGTAAATCTTGCTTTGCAAAGCCCTTAAAAGCTTCTCCAGCCTTAAAAACAAAAGGCCTAGTTTTGCCAAATGAATATGAATTTCCAATCCTTGGACAAGGAAAAATAAGATGAAAGTAGCAAAATCTTTACATAATTCTTCAGTTAGGCTTGTGTTTTCAGGTGCTAACTGCCCTTATTGAAAATGAGCCAGATGAAACGATGACAGTGGGAGGATCTAAAGGAAATTTTTATAAATGAGAACATTAGTTAATTCAATTCCACTCTTTGATGGCATTGGTCCTCTTTGAAAGAAAAGACAAACAGCAAAAACTAGGTGGTAGGCACCCATGCTAGAAGCTAGCATACAGTAACAAAAATGAAATAATGCTTGTCATTTAGAAGCTTATATTCTATTCAGGGAAACAACATGGGTACAGGTAAATGGATATAAAATACATCCGGAGTAAATGCAAAAGTAATTGGGAGAGAGGGAAGGAAGGAAGCACTAATGACAACTAGGAAGATCAGGTAAGGCTTCCTGTAGGAGATGGCACCTGAGCTAGGCTTCGAAGAAATCTAGACATTCTGCAAAAGGAGATAAGGAAGGAGAGTATCCCTGCCCTGGGAGACAGTCTGTGTAAAGTCACAGAGGCAAGAAATTAAATGTTGTATTAGCAGACCACGAAATAGGCTGTTCTACTGGAACACAGTATGTAAGATAATAATAATGTGGGGAAGTCTGAAACAGTAGGTTGAATCCAGACTGTGCCTAACATAAGTCAAAATATGACCCAAACCATAAACCTTGAGGGCTGGCACATAAAAATAAACTGGAGGAAAAAAGAACTGTGCCCATTGCAAATGAGTGTCTTTCCACCTTTATATAAAACTACCTAAATATATTCTAAAACAAAGTAGAAATTAACAGATTATTTTTAAAGGCTTCAAGGGAATTTCCTTAGAAGGCATTTTCCATGCCTTCAAGGAGCCAAGTTCATTCCCCAAATCTGAAAAGCTTAATTTCAAAAGACAGATTTTAGACCTCACTGAGAAGGCCATCAGCAACCTGGGACTCTGCCAGCCAGAGACTTCATTCTACCATTCCAATTTCAGGGAGATTATGGTATAAAGTCTTATTACAAAGAATTCACCACTTCAGCCTTTTGAAGTAAGAGGGCCATTGACTTCTTTTTCTATGGCACTTCCCAAAGACCAAATAAAACCCAGGCATATCAAGCTTTGTCACAACTCTTGAAATGTCAATAAAGAAATAAATCTTCCCTCTCTCTCCCACTCTCTGCTGTTATTTTCAGAATGGGTTTAAACTTAAGAAGAAGCAGCTGTCACATGTGTGTACTTGTAAAGAATAATTCCTTTCCTCTCTGCATTTTTCTTTCCTTTAGGTCACACTTCCCAGGAGAGAATGGAATGGAGGCTACAGTCAGTTGTCAGCAAAAAGAATCTTGCGAGTCAATGATTTATGAATATCATTTCCCAATTAGCCTTTTATGTATGAAATAGAACCTCCCCAAAGATGTTTCTTTCATCTGTTAAGGCCTAACAGAGGGCTATAGGTGTGCCACCAGATAATGTATCCAAAGGATCAAAAATGGCAGCTACCATTGTGTTAGTGGCAACCCTTTGCTCCATTGTTAGCATGCCTAAAACATTTTCTCAGTGATGGCTTGCAACAGTACTCCCTTTGAGACTTGTGATTCCCTCTTGCTGAATATGAGCAGCCTGTCCCCAGCATCCACATCTGTGGTTTTGTCTGCCCCACTCCGGATTTTGTTGGCACTGGTCATGATGCTGATGATTGCTGTTGGATTCCTTGGCAATGCCATTGTCTGTCTCATTGTATACCAGAAGCCCGCCATGCGCTCAGCCATCAATCTGCTCCTGGCAACCTTGGCCTTTTCTGATATCATGCTGTCCTTGTGTTGTATGCCTTTCACGGCAGTCACCATGATCACTGTGAACTGGCACTTTGGTGCCTACTTCTGCCGTTTTTCAGCCATGCTCTATTGGTTTTTTGTCTTGGAAGGTGTTGCCATCCTCTTAATCATCAGTGTAGACCGCTTCCTCATCATTGTCCAGCGCCAAGACAAACTGAATCCCCGAAGGGCCAAGGTGATGATTGCAGTCTCCTGGGCTCTGTCATTCTGTATTTCATTTCCCTCCCTCATGGGCTGGACTTTTGTGGAAGTGCCTACCCGGGCCCCTCAATGTGTACTGGGTTACACAGAGTTTCCAGCAGACAGGGCTTATGCCGTGATACTGGTGGTGATGGTTTTCTTTGTACCATTCAGCATCATGCTCTATTCCTATCTATGCATCCTCAACACTGTGCGCAGGAATGCCATCAGGGTCCATAACCACACTGAGAGCCTCTGCTTAGGCCAGGGGAGCAAGCTAGGGCTGATGGGTCTCCAGCGGCCATACCCACTGAATATCGACATGAGCTTCAAAACGAGGGCCTTCTCTACCATCTTGATCCTCTTCATTGGCTTCTCCTTCTGTTGGCTGCCTCATACCATATTCAGCCTTCTGTCTGTGTTTAGCCGGAAGTTTTACTACGGCTCTTCCTTCTATATCACCAGTACCTATGTTCTGTGGCTTAGTTACCTCAAGTCTGTCTTTAACCCTGTCATCTACTGCTGGAGAATCAAGAAATTCCGCGAAGCTTGCATAGAGTTTCTACCCAAAACATTCAAGATCTTCCCCAAAGTGCCTGGACGGACAAAGAGGAAGGTCCATCCAAGCACCATCTATATTTGCAATGAGCGTCAGTCAGCAGTTTAGGGAAGAAGCAGGCAGAAGAGACCTAGCAAATGGACACAGGAAGGAATTCAGCTTTTGCTCTCAGCGTCTAACAGTGATAACAGGTTGGCTGCCTTCCGTGGTTAGTGTTATGTACTAAGTCTTCATTAATTATTCAGCTAAATGACCCACTGCCCAAAATTGGGGGAGGAAACTATTCAATGAATTCAATTCAATAAACCTACGTTGAGCACCTGCTGTGTGCAAGAAATTGCAGGAGACTCTGGAGGAGGGATACAGATCATTTTTCAGTATCATGGAAAGAGTCCTGGATCTGAAGAAAGAAGATCTAGGTTCAAATACTGGCCAACCAGTATGACCTTGAAGTCATTTAACTCTCTGGGCCTCAGTTTCCTCATCTGTGAAATTAAGAGGTTGGACTAGATGACCTTCAAGGTCCCTTCCAGTTCTAAATCTACACTTTGATTAATTAAACAGTCCTTGCTCTCAAGGAGTTTTTAATCTGGTAAAAAGCCAGATTGGGATACTCATTCATTACAAGTAATATGATCTGATGAAAACTGCCAAGTAATTTTAAGAAAATATTGTGTTTGTATATGTGTGAAGGAGGAGATAGATTGTGTTAAGATGATTTCGTTTTGTCACGTTAGCCCCCTTCCTAATACCATTGTCCAGAGAAACCCGTGGTGCCATATTGTAATAATATACAAATGCCCAAGACAACCAATCTGGTCAGTATGATGTCATAGTATTACTTTTCTTTTTAATTGTAATTTCTCTCCTTTGCAGCAGTCTTTGTTATTGTTTATTCTTCATTTTGGAAGAGGACCAAGCGCTCTTTAGATTTGTATTCAATAGATACTAAGAACAAAATGTACCCAAGTGTTAATCATAGATGTAGTATCTGTTTCCAAGAGTTGCCATATTGTATACACTGGCAAACCAATACCTAGATGAGTAGCAAATTTAGCCTTTTTACTTCAATCAGTCAACAAACATTTGTTATTACTGTGGCCAGGCACTGTATTAGGTACTGGGGATATAAGTAGAAATAATGGAATAATCTGTACGCAGTTCCTGATACATAAGTTGTCTTTAAGGCAAAGATTCTATCTTAGTAAGGAACAGTGAACTAAGTTTAGCTTGTGACTTGCCTTATCTGAATACACATGCACATACCATGATGCCTTTCTCTCCACTTGATTGTATGGAACGTGTGGATAGCACCATGACTTTTTTCTTCTGATTTTGTTTTTCTTTCAAATATTTTAGTTTTTTTTCTAATTACATATAAAAAAAGTTTAACTTTTTTTTTTAATGTTTGAGTTCTGAATTCTCTTCCTTCCTTCCTCCCCTCATCCCCTCATTGAGAAGGGGAGTAATTTTATATAGGTTATAAATGTGGAGTCATATAAAATATATTTTTCCATACCAGTCATGTTGTAGAAGAAAACATAGACCTCCCCCCACAAAGAAAAAAAACCATGAAAAATAAAGTAAAAAAAGCATGCTTCAATCAGTATTTTGACTCCACCAGTTCTTTCTCTAGAAGTGTAAGCGCTTTTTATCATGAGTCCTTTGGAATTGTCTTAGATCATTGTGTTGCTGAGAATAGCTAAGCCATTTACAATTGATCATCATACAATATTGCTGTTACTGTGTACAATGTTCTCCTGATTCTGCTCATTTCTCTTTGCACTAGTTCATATAAGTCTTCCCAGGTTTTTTTTAAAGATCCTGTTCATAATTTTTTATTTATTTAATTAATTTATTTTTAGTTTTCAACATTCACTTTTATAAGATTTTGAGTTCTAAATTTCCCCCCCCTCCCTTTCCACCTCCTCAAGACAGCATGCAACCTGAAATACGCTATACATGTACAATCACATTAAACATATCTCCACATTAGTCATGTTGTAAAGAAGAATCAGAACCAAAGAGAAAAACCATGAGAAAAAAAAAAGAGAGGAAATAGTATGCTTCCATCTGCATTCAGACTCCATGGTTCTTTCTCTGGATGAGGATAGCATTTCCCATCATGAGTCTTTTGGAATTGTGACGTAGATCATTGCTTTGCTGAGAAGAGCTAAGTCTATCAAAATTGGTCGTCAGATAATGTTGCTGTTACTGTGTACAATATCCTTCTGGTTCTGCTCACTTCACTCAGCATCAGTTCATGTAAGTCTTTCTAGGTTTTTCTGAAATCTGCCTGCTCATTATTTCTTATGGAACAACAGTATTCCACATATAATATATTCCAATAGCCAATCTGATAGGTGTGATGTGGTACCTCAGAGTTGTTTTAATTTACTATAGATAGCTTTAATTTCTTCTGAAAATTGCCTATTCATATCCTTTGACCACTGCTCATTGTTTTTATAGCACAGTAGTTTTCCATCAAAATCATATACCACAACTTGTTCAGCCATCCCCTCAATTTCCTATTCTTTGCCACCACAACAGGAGCTGCTGTAAATATTTTTGTACATATCGCTCCTTTTTTTTTTTAAATCTCTTTGGGATACAGATATGGTAGTACTACTATTGCTGGGTCAAAGGGTATGACTTTTGGCATAGTTCCAAATTGCTCTTCAGAATGGTTGGATCAGTTTTCAACTCCACCAACAGTGTATTAGTGTCCCAATTTTGCCACATCCCCTCCAAAATTTGTCATTTTCCTTTTCTGTCATATTAACCCATCTGATAGGTGTGAGGTGGTGCCTCAGAGTTGTTTTAATTTGCATTTCTCTAATCAATAGTGATTCAGAGCATTTTTCATATGACTGTCGATAGCTTTGATTTCTCCATCTGAAAACTGCCTGTACATATCCTTTGACCATTTGTTAACTGAGGAATGGCTTGTATTCTTATAAATTTGACTCAGTTCTCTATATATTTGAGAAATGAGGCCTTTATCAGAGGAACTTGCTATAAATTCCTTCCCCCACCCCAACCCAGTTTTCTGCTTTTCTTCTGATCTTGGCTGCACTGGTTTTGCTTACCACAATGCCTTCTTATCATGGAATTCTTACCCTCATGGAGCAGTGGCTAAACCCAATTTACCTTCTTTACCTCTGCTCTCCTTTCTATTTTCCTGCTTCCTTCTCAGCTCCCATTTTTCTATCCTCTCCTTTTTCTACTTTGTATTTTCCTTCTCTTTTTGATTACTCAAAAGTACCCTTTAATTCATTCAACAGAAAGAAATCCTATTTCTTTGCTGTCATTGATTTCTTCTGCCTTTTAGGAGTGGAAGGTGATAACTGTCTACAAGTTGCTTCCTTAAGCTCCATTCTCTCTCTTCTGTTTACAAGGCTGTCGGTGTCCAGGGCAATGTCTTTGATCAGCTCAAGGTCCACTTCAGTGGAGGAATTGCTGCTTCTAAGGGGAGAAACAAAATGCCACCTTCTCAGGGTAGCCTGTTCACTTGTATGCTCCTCCGAACCCCCACAATGAGCATTCCTTCCTTCCATCTTGCCCTTCACCTGGGTAGCCCTCTTCTCAGAAACCCAAGCATGTTTTGAGGCTCTGGTAAGTTGCCTAGCTTTTGTCTATTTGTCCTTCATACTGTCCCTGTCTAACATATGGCGGACCTTGCCCACTCCAGTTTTGCCAGGAGGCATTTGGCTGGACTTTTCTTTGTTTGGGTTTATAGGGATATAAGCTCTTTCGTTTTGTTTATAGTTCCAGATTCAAGTTTAGCTTAAAGAGCATTAAAGATAAAACTTCAGAACAGGGTTCCATATCAGTTATGGCACTAACTTGCTTTGTGACCTTGGGGCAGTCATATAACCACATTGGCTTTCTCATTTGTTAAATGAACTAGATGATCTCTTCAAGTGCCAAAATTCCATGATTCAATGGGTCAAAATCTTGCATATATGATTTGTGATTTAGATAGGTCTCAGAATAATCATAGCCCAGATTTAGCCCTACAACTAAAGAAAGCTAAAGTTGGGCTTACGTTTCAGTTTCCATCCTCAAGTCTTGCCAAGGAACATAGGTTAACCCTTTTTATCACCCTTCTGTAAATAAAGAAAAGCCGGCAGATAAGCATTCTACACATTATTATTTCCCATAAAGAGGTGGTGGGGTATTTAATTTAGTCTCATGCATTTAAATAAGATTCGTCATGAAAATGAGCTGAGACCTTTTTTCACCAATTGCAGTAATGTCCATATGCAGAAAAATAAAAGGTTGATTGCCTTTGCTTTGGAGCATTGCTTTATGAAGTATTCAAATCAATTCAACTCTATTTCTGTCCTGAACGCCAACATAGTATTTACCAGTTTTTCCTTGTGGCTTCCTTGTGATGGGGACTTAAGAATTCAGTCTAGTTGTTCAGAAAAAGTGACAGAAGACGGAGTGGGTGTACATTTGAGCCCTTGTCTGTCCCCAAGAACTAGATGACAGTATGTAACACATAGCACCTGGGACACAAAAGTGAAGCCCTCCTCTTCTTCTTCACGTCCTTAAAGGAGTGCATTTGGTGGAAGCCCCAGATGAAATATGTATGTTTGGAAAGAAGGTTTAGTTTCCCCAGTTTATATCCAACAGCATTGTGTGGTTTGCGGTTAAATATTATTAAGTGTAATGTGTATGTCTCAAAAGTATAATATTGTACATGTCTTAAATAAAGTGTTACGGTCCTACAGCCATGTCTAAGACTATATTGTTGGCTCCAATTAAACACACAAATCAAACCATTCCCCCAACTTAATGTTGGTATGCAGGTCCAATCCAAATGATGCTGCACATTATATCAGATGCCTAACATTACCCATGGGACAGCTAGATGGCACAGTGGATAGAGCATTGGGCTTGGAATCAGGAAGACTCATCTTCCTCAGGTTAGATCTGGCCTTAGACTCTTACTAGCTGAGTAACCCTGGGCAAGTCATGCCTTGGTTTCCTCATCTGTAAAATGGGGGGGGCAGAAGGAAATGGCAAACCACTCCAGTATCTTTGCCAAGAAAATCCCAAATAGGTCACACAGACGTGACTGAAACAACTGAACAACAATACATTTCCCCCAAAACAACAAGATAAGCAATAGATTACAGAAAAGCTGGAAAAATGGGAGGGAATGAAGAGTGGGAAAACACTGAATTTGGAGTCAGAGGACCTGGGTTCGAATCTTGATTTACTACTGACTATCTGTGCGACCTTGGACAAGTTGCTTCATAGTTCACTCATGAGTAAAATAAAAAGCGTGCATTAGATGGCCCCTATGGTCTAAAACTGATTCTATGATAATAATATGAGGCAGGTAGATAGCACAACACATAGAGCCCTGGGCCTGGAATGAAGAAGGACTGAGTTCAAATGCAATATCAAACACTTACTCTGTCTGCCTCAACTTATTCAA